ATTCCCCAAACACACCAGCTGTCTGGTGCCTTCTCACACACTGCTCCCTCTGTTTAAAATGCCCTTCTCTTATCTCCTTGGGGGAATCATCTCTCTTTCTCCAATATGAAGAGGAGAAGCTAGTTGATGGTCTCTTTTCTGGGCTTCTGAGTCACACCATGTGTTCAGAACCTATCTTCCCCGGAGGAGGTGAGCTCCATTTTCTTCCTAGCTCTAGGAGGCAGCCTGTCACCCTTGATGTTGAACAAGGGCAGGTGAGACAAGGACAGGATTCAGTCTGCTGACACATACATCCCTCTCACTCCTCAGGATGCCAGCTTTGGATTTGGATCAGAGAAGCAAGGAAAGTTGTCCCATGACTGGGAGGATGCAAATCAGAACAATGGCTCTAAGGAGGTTCTGTCCATGCCTAGCACAGAAGCAGAAGTAGAGTGTGTGGGCAAGCTCGCCATCCACACATGACACCCCGGCAAGTCCACACAAATTCTAGTCCTTTGGGTCCGAAAGCAGGGGAGTCTTGGAATTGTAGCAGCAACAGCAGCAGCAGGACTACGAGGACTTTCAAGGGTAAAGGGCAAGAGGAAATTGTGTGGACATCATTTGGGTACTGAATAAAATCCTGAATTGATTCTCTTACTTGCAAAGACAGTGTCAGGGGAAGAGGGGCCAGACTTGATATCCAGATCTCAGGGACAATATTTACATTACTTTCTCTGCCTGAGTTTACTTATGTGGCTGCTGATAGCTGGTGGCTTAGTTGAGGCTGAATGCTCTAACATTGCCTCACTTACTTGTCTAGGCCTCAGCTGGAATGGCTGGAATTGCTAGACAGCTAGGCCTCTCTCTCCATGTAATCCTTCATCCTGGATTTCTTCATGTGATGGGGGAAATATTACAAGAGCGTGAGAGTGGAAGCTACAAGGACTCTCAAGGCCAAGGCTTTGAATTCACATGATTTCACTTCTGTAGCATATTGGTCAGATCAAGTCATAAAATAATCCCAGATTCAAAAAGTGAGGATATAGATTCCTCTTCCTAATGGAAGGAGCTGAAAAGAATTTGTGGCCAAATTTAAACTCCCTTAGTATTCCACAGTGTCATGGGTCCAGTTGTGGTGGCAACAGGGGTAACATTCCAGGCCAGCTAGAAGTAGTTTACCAGAGATGTTTCTGTGACCAAGAATTCCAATTACCACAGTTAACGTGGATTAAAAGTCACACTCTTATTAACAGCACCGATGGCTAGAAGATGATGGAACATGTCTTCAAGCTCTGGAGCTATTTTCTCAACCTAGAATCCGTATACCTAACCAAACTATCGGTCAAGCCCAAGGGCAGTGTATTAGTTTCCTAGGATTGCCATAACAAGTGGTTACTAATAGGTAGCTTTAAAACAACAGAAATTTACTCTTTCATAGTTCTGGAGGCTAGAAGTCCAACATTCGGGTTGGTGCCTTCTGTAGATTCTGCGAGAAAATGCCTCTCTCCTAGCTTTTGGTTGTTGCTAGCAAGTCCTGCCATATTTTGGCGTGTAGACACATCATTCCAGTCTCTGCCTCCATCTTTACATGGCACTCTCCCTATTCCTAAATTAGCCTCATCTTATAAGAATACCAGCTAATGGATCAGGGCCCATCCTAATTGAGTACAACCTCATCTTAACTTGATTTCATCTGTAAAGACTCTGTTTCCAGATAAAATACCAGAGGTCAGGACTTGAATGTATTTTGGGGGACACAATTCTACTCTCTATAGACAGGAGATTCAGAAAGTTTATCTCCTAAATACTTTTTCTTTGGAAATTATAATGAATGATAAAAGGAAAGTAGTCCTTGTTCAGTACCAGATTCTACAGGAAACAATATTTATCTATTCATAATAATGTAGACACTTATAATAGATTTTTGACTTTTAGAATCAGCCATCCAATATGGTGGATGAGCATGTGAAAAGTAGCTAGTGCAAGTGAGGAACTGAAATTTTAATTTAATTTTAATCTGTATTTTTAAATAAACATGATGTAGTTATTGGGAACCTTTAAGTATTCTCGTGACAACTTGGATATATAAATCTACTTTTTAGATTGTAAAATTTTATAAAATCTATAGATCATGTATTACTGATGAAAACTGCATGTCCAAATTTAGATACATTGTGAGTGTAAAATACAATTCAGATTTAGAAGGCTTAGTTTCAAAAAAGAATGCAAAATATCTCAGTAATATTTTTATACCAAATATATGTTGAAATGGTAATATTTAGACATACTGGGTTAAATATATATTATTAAAATGAATTTCCTCTGTTACTTTTTCCTTTTTTTTAAACTTTGGCTACTAGAAAATTATATATGTGGCTCACATATTTCTTGTGGATAGTGTCGCTATAAACAAAGCATGTGAAACTTAATGACGCAGCAGAATGCTTACATAACAGAATGTAAATGTTATCTTTGATGACATAAAAGTTCAAAGTACCAATACTGGGAAATGTAAAGGGAAAATAACTGACAAATAGAAGTGTATAGACACACTATTCTCATCTTAGAGAAAGGGCTTCAAGAAACCTTGCTTGAAGTGACGGGATGAGAAATAGACGTTAAGGTCCATTATGTAAAGTTACAAAATGACTAAATGGCTATTACTAAGCATAATGATATGATTATATATATAGCAGGTAGTCTATATATAACATCATGATATAGTGGTATAAGCATATTGCTTAGAGATACGGAAGCAAATGCCAGAAGAATAGTTAGAATGGGAGCCTTAAAGTAAAGAGTGAGGAAGAGCAGGAGACTGATGTTCATTAAAAGCCTTTCTGGACTATGTGGGTTTTTTGAAAAAACAATTTACATGTCTTTACTTGGTAACAATTTTCAAAAAGAAATTCGACCTGAGAGATTTTTTTAAGAGTTGATTATGTCAAATATTCACTTTATTAATTTTTATTAATATGATAAATTTACTCTGACCTAGGAGGTTCCAAGTAGCCCTTCCTTTCTCCTTTGTCTCCTGCTCGTCCATGCCAGACTTGGCACATATACTCCCTCCTTACCCTCCTGTCTCTTTGATACTTGACTTCCAAGTCTCCCTTGTCAGCTGGACTCTGGGCTGAATGCCAAAGTGGAAGGGACCTTGCCAATAAGCCTACACAGAGGAGCTGTCTATGAAGAGATCTCTGATACAGCTGGGCTGGCATGAAAGACCTCATTGGGCATCAGTCTCCTTTGGAAGACCACAGGGCACAGCTTCTAGCTCCAGGCCTTGGCAGAGGTCTTTTTAGTGGTTAGCAGGTGGCTAGAAAGGTAAGAGGTGAGGTATTGGGAGGAGGTGTGGGGTGAAGGGTTGGGGGAGAAATGGAAGCCACAGGACGGGGGCCACTGGAGATGTCTGTTGGCCGCAGTCCCTCCTCCTTCCCAGTACCAGATAACAAAGCTAATCTATTGTCTGCTGAGGCACCATCATCGGGCTCAGAGATGGAAGTCTCAAAACACAAAGCCGAGTCTGGTAGCTGCCTGTATGCTTATGTTGTGGTTGATGGCCTTCTTCTTGGACCAGAAGTACAGTCAGAATGACCTCAATAAGAAGGACAGAATATGCTTAAGGACCTGCCACTGCTGCAGAAACACTTTCAGAAAGGGGATGTGTTTATCTGGCATCTGTGAGTGCTCTGCCTGCCTCCACATACCCGGAGACTCTGACTAGTTTGATGAATGCTTCAAAAGGCCCACTGAGCCCCTGCAAAAGTCAGAAGAACTCATGTCCTCTGAGGCTCGGATATTGTGGTTGATCAGTACACAATCTTGGTCTTTGCCCAGTCCCCATACCCAGCCCCAGGCCCTGGCCATCTCTCCCTTCATGGCCCCTGGCCTAACCTTCCACAGGTAATGAGTCTGGGATAAGGCCCTAAATTCCTCCCTTCTATGCTATGAACTCAAGGGCATCAAGTTGGAGAAGTTTGAGAATTAGAAGCAACAGCCAATTAAAATGTCTCCCAGCCACCCACTGGGCCATGTAAGGTCCAGCTGGCTGACCTGTCCAGTGGTTAGAAACTCAAGGTTCCTATGGGGCTCTGGCTTTGGCTTCAGGATTAAACAACATGACACGGTCCTCAGGTGGGTGCAGGGTAGGAGGTGGAGACCAGGAGGGTGAGGCCAACTCCTCCTCCTCCCCAGAAGTCCATCCTGCCCCGCTTTCCAGGATGAACCAGGCCTCTGCCCAAGGCTTTGAGACAGACGTGGAGAACATGACCACCATATGCACGCTATGAACCCCGAAATAGCCATCACTCAGGATCCCGGCACCCAACTGCTGCTGCTTCCTTTAAATGCATCTGGTCTGAAGTGGTTCATAAAAGTACTGCATGAGCAGGATGCCGTCTGGAAGCCGAGAAACCCCGGGCATGGCGGCGAGGTGGGGCATTGTAGGGGGTGACAGTGGGGACTCAAGAGACTATTGCTGGATATTGGGGCACCCCTGGGGTTACCTAAGCTTGGGGCTGCTGTGTCAATAACTCTGAAACTCAAATATCTACTACATCCAACAAACACACACAACCTAACAAAATGCAATATCAGTCATACAAGTGAGAGCACATTTACTGCCTTCCAAGGGCACTGAAGTATGCTGGGTGTC